GTGTGTGTGTGTGTGTGTGTGTGTGTGTGTGTGTGTGTGTGTGTGTGAGAGAGAGAGAGAATGAGAGAGAGAGAGGACATTAACACACTGACATAAAGTATATCATTCTTAATCCTGGATCAGGCTCACAGGCCCATCGTGATCCTCACAATGCATACTTGTTCATTTTTCCTTTTTGTATCAAAGCATGGAAAAACCGGCCTTCACAAACAGTAGCTGGTTCTGATTCTGCTGAAATGAAATTTTACATTTCACAAAAAAACCCCAAAGCTGCTCCGGTGGCACTTTCTCACAATGTCCCCTGCGGAATTCGGCAATCGTCGCAAAAAGCAGAAGGAAGGAGGACGACTGGGGAAAAACATAGGATTTGGTCATGGCTGCAGATAAGTGAGACTCTCTGTTGGAGAGACAGGTCAAAAAAATAAATAATAGAATTGCTTTTTTTCCCCGAGCCATTTGGAGAGAAAAAAAAGAAGAAGCTTGATCTCTATTGTCGAATGTTTGGTGTTCCCCGCCTCTATGAAGGCAGTCTGGGACGGATCTCCGGTCTTTGATTGACAGATTGTGTGCCGTGTGCATGTAGCTCTGGTCCCCTGATGGCCCAACAGCCAGCTCCACTGTCCCATTTATGACACCAGCCAATCTGCCTCCAGCAGAGACTCTCCCACAGCTTTTCACAGATCTGTATCCCCATTTTCCCCAAATTCATCTCACCCCCTCCTCTCCCTTCAGCTTACTTTAAGACACAAATGCCCAGACTGCCCACACACAGGCACACACACACACACACACACGCAAACACAAGCTGAGTTCGCTGCAGTGGAAGATGCTGCAAAGTGAGAGATGCAAGTGGAGAAAGTGAGAGCCTGCATGCAGCTCTCTTACAGTGTTGAGTTATTTGAATATAACCAACGATGGAAAAGTTCCCCAGTTATCCTGGTCGCTCACTAGAGGGCGCTGTCTCCGCTCCACTGCTGACAAATCCCCTTATGATGAGGTCCGGGGGCCGTATGAACGACGTTTGAGGTGCGACATGTTTCTTTGATTATTTCTGGTTTCGGGAGCTTTCGATCTCTCTCACTCGCTCCTTCAGCGTGTGTGCGCGTTTGTGTTTGTGTTTCAGACACAGACGTGGGCAATTTAAAACGACATTATGTTCAGTAAACAGGTTTTATTTTTGTTCATTTCTTTTTTGAATTATAACCCAACAACTGTGACTATGTGTCCTTTTTGTTGTTGTCGTTATCGTTTCTTCACCGGGAGCCATGCAGCAGAGTTGTGCAGTGTTCGTGCTTCCGTTCTCTCAGTCCTGTATAGTATATAGGCCTACCGTTGTCAGAATTTCAGTGGTTTTAAGGGCCATTTATTTACCATCATTTACAAACGGCAGTTCGCCTCGTTTTTAACCCCATTACTTTAAATGCAAAATTTAAAAGAAAATAGAAAATCAGTTGTCTGCTTTCATCCCCATTATGTAGCCTATTAATATGACATTGATTTCCTACATCCCAAATCTACTCAAACTAATTTGAACGGTTTTATATTTGAATTCAGTTAAATTAGGAAATAGATCCAATTGTGTCTAAGAATATCCACCTACTGTTAAAATCTTTGATATAAGTAAAGCATTTTTGGCGTTTTATTTAGTGACCAATTTAACAATAATTCAAATATTGGATTAAAACTTAAAAAGGTAGAAAATAAGAAAAATAAGATTCATTTCTAGTTCTATTTCTTTCAGTATCTGAAGAGAATTAAAGCTCTAGCAAAAAACATGCATTTGTCACCTGAGAAAAGGAGAAGGAAGCTCGAATAATACTCGCCGTTTTTTTCCCCTCTTAGGCAGAAAAAATTAAGTCAAAATAAAAATCGTCTTTTTTAATTTGCAGGTGTTGCTTTTGAGCCCATTTTTACGGTCAATTGTTTTACTAGAGCCAATACCGAAGAAGTGGAAGAGGCGACAGATGTCAATTATAGGAAATAAGGTGCACATGGGATTTTTTTTTTTTTTCATTCTCAACGTGTCGGGAGTGTTTGCAGGAGGGGAAAGGGTCTCGGTGTTTTGCTATTCATCGAGGATACGTCTTAGTTGGTTGAGTGAGTGTGGAAGTAATCTGACAAGCCGTATGTGAATGTACATTGTACGTGATGACTTGAAACTGAAAGTTTATCGAGGATTAGAAGCGTGCGCGGTGGGGAATGCAGGACTGGTGAAGTGCGACTTATTTTTTTAGAGACTTGGTTTGTGGGTAAAATGTGCAGAGACACTGGTTGTCGTTTTGGCCTCTTAGAAATGATTTTCACTCATGTTTGACAGCAAACTGAAGCTTGCTTGCTCTTGTAATTTATTGTTTTTTAAATCCTGGATGCGTGGCGCGTGGAGCGATCGCCACTTCGCTCAAATCTGCACCCGGGACGTGAGAGTGAAAATAAACGTAACAACACTCGTGAAGACATTTTTTCTCCTGATATTATTTCCACCAAACGCTTTCTAATTGAATTAGAGTGGTGCCACCATTGGCTGCGGAGCGGGCTGGTGCGCCCGCGTGCTTCTCCAAGAGCTCCTCCCCTCTCGCTCACAATCAGTTGGGTGTGTGGAGAACTACATCTTTATAAGAGCCGCTGAACACCCAGTGTCCAGCCTAGAATCTGATCCGAACGTCCGTAGGCGAGGAGCCGGTTTAACCTCCTTCCATCATTCGTAAGGGAGGGAGGCGTGCAGAGCCAGAAACTACCAGGGCGCCGGTTGGTCGCGTCGCCTCCTTTGGCTGAGATTCACTCCTCTGGAAACTCTCGAAACTCTTTTTATTGTATTGCAAGGTCTAAACAATGCAGTTAGAGAACATCCTTCCCAGCGCCAGCATCAGTTTACCCAAGACCTTTTACAATCTTTCGTCGTCGGACAGTGCCAACAACAGCCCGAGGCCGTCATCGCAGCTTGACTACCAAGAAGTCGACCGGACGGAATCGGAGTCCAGCAGTGCCCCTAAGAAGTACCTGAGCGGGGTAGGGAACGGGATGCTGGGTGAGGCAGAGGGGGACACTTTCGCTAAAGCCGGGCCCGATGGGAGGAAAGGCTCCCCGGTGCTCGGCGAGGACGAGTTGACGAGCGGTCGGCGTTACAACATAGAAGAACTGGGCTCCGACAGATACTTCATCTCGTCCGCACAGGCGAGTTCCGACATGGCAAGCCCCTGTTCCCTCTTTCCTTACGCAGGACAGACCGGCTCGGTGTACACCGGGTCCAGCGGCTCCAGGTACCCGGCTTCACTTCATTACGGATCCGTCCTGCCGCCCACGGGCTTCTCCTCCTCGTCCATGTGCACCGGCCGGAGTCAGTTTAGCAGCGGAGGGTACCAGTTTAGCCAGGGCCCGGGCTGTTTGTACCCCTCCTATCCCGGGACGGGGACGGGCATTGGCTCCATGTCTCTGCCGGGGTCTGCCGCCGGAGCCAGAGCGCAGGTCTATCTGTGCAACCGACCTCTGTGGCTGAAATTCCACCGGCACCAGACCGAGATGATCATCACCAAACAGGGCAGGTAAGCAGAAGGCCCAATTTAAGCACACGAATGTGAAATTCGTTTTAATATTTCCCGTCAGCCTGTTTAGACTCTATTTCTTATGACACCGGTCATTTTCATACCACTTCTTTACGCATGACCAACATTTTACGCAAAGGATTCCTATCTTCCTTTTACGCATTTTGTATGTGGTTCTGAAGTTTTAAATTGCAAGTTTTCGTTTCTGGTAAATTGTAAATGCACAACTACACAGCAGACTAAACATGACAATGATGAAATGTACAATTATTTAAAATCTAATATTAGAGAGGCACTTTGCCAAATGCCACACATGACATGAGCGTTGTTTTCCTGCTTTTATGAGCACATCTGTTAATTACTCCTGTTTTTTTTTTTTTTGTTTTTCGTCTTTTCTAGACGGATGTTCCCATTCCTCAGCTTCAACATCACTGGACTCAACCTCACGGCCCACTACAATGTCTTTGTAGAAGTTATTTTGGCTGACCCAAATCACTGGCGCTTTCAGGGAGGGAAGTGGGTCACTTGTGGGAAAGCAGACAATAATATGCAAGGTGAGTTAGAGATTCAAGAAAACGTATTTGTCTCTGGCAGATATGTATGTTGTTAAATAAAAGATTGAAAAAGAAATCGGGAAAGGAATGAAACATGGTTAGAAATAAATAATACAACAATGTAGCATTCAGTCCTGAGAGCTTGATGAAGTGAGAATCAAATTTGAGTGTCAAAGATTAAGATTGTTTGGAAATAAAGATGGTTCTTTTAATTTATTATAATTATTTTTACCCATTTTTGCAAAATGTTTTGAAATGTTTTGTAGTGTTTAATAAATGCATATAATGCAATAATTTAGACTCATCTCAGAGAACCAACTCTAGTGTGAAACTTGTCTTTTCAAATGACTAGTACTAGATGGATTAAAATGATTATTCTTCATTTGATAATTTATTGTTAAGAGAAATATTATGAGAAGAAAATGTATCATTTTCAGCATCTTTTAAAACAGAACTTTTGAATTTGATTTCAATAAATTCCATTAGTCTGTCTTGAATCTACTTTCAATTAATGTTTTCATTAAAATAACATAATTTAATAATAATTCCTGTTTTATGTATTTTAATTCGATTTTCCCCAAAGATCTTTATTATTATGCATAATATATAATATGCATAATGTAAAAAAAAAGCAGGATATGATGTATTATTCTTTCTGTTTTGTATATTACTAACTGCGTTATTTCAATTTCAGGTAACAAAATGTATGTTCATCCTGAATCTCCAAACACTGGTGCTCACTGGATGAGGCAAGAAATCTCTTTTGGCAAGTTGAAGCTGACCAACAATAAAGGGGCCAACAACAACAACACACAGGTAAGATGTCAATTTCTGACACGCTCCAAATTTTCCATTCGCCAGTATTGTTTCTGATTTTAACTAACTGAAAATAATTGTGTAAGTACTATAACTTTCAAGCATGACTGCAGTCTTTTTTCAAAGATATTTGAGCACTCCATTTTATTTTTAAATTAAAAAAGAGCACAAATCAATTCACGCAGCCTGTTGTGAAATCTCCGGCGTTGCACTCATCACACGTCTCTCTTCTGCAGATGATAGTCCTGCAGTCACTTCATAAATACCAACCGCGACTGCACATTGTGGAGGTGACGGAAGACGGAGTGGAGGACATGAGCAACGAGGCCAGAACTCAGACCTTCACCTTCCCAGAGAACCAGTTTATAGCCGTCACTGCGTACCAGAACACAGATGTAAGCACTGCAATTTATACATTATACATTTATTATTTGTGATTTAGAATTCAAATGTATTTAGCTGTTTAGATGCAATGCATGCATTTATGCTTAGTTTTATAAAAAAAGTCATTCTTTAGTATTGCTCTCTCACATTATTAATGCAAGATTTCTTTTTTGTTTGTTTGTTTTTTAGATCACACAGCTGAAGATAGATCACAACCCTTTTGCGAAAGGCTTCCGGGACAACTATGACTCGTATGTGTCTTGCAGTTCAAGCAGTGTGGTTGATCTGTTTTTTCCTGTGGTACGCTATTTGATGCATGTCTCGGATGCTGAATTTTTCTCGTGTTCTCGTTTTTTGGTTGAACAGGATGTACACGGCCCCAGAGAGTGACCGGTTGACTCCGTCCCCCACGGACTCCCCCCGCTCCACCCAGATTGTGCCCGGGGCCCGCTACGCCATGCAGCCTTTCTTTCAGGACCAGTTCGTCAACAACCTGCCTCAGAACCGCTTCTACGCCAGTGAGCGGGCCGTCCCCCAAACCAACAGCCTCCTCTCCCCGCAGAGCGAGGACGTCAGCGCTGCGGCCTCTGCCCAGCGCTGGTTCGTCCCCCCAGTCCAGCAGCCGGGCTCCAACAAGCTGGATCTGTCCTACGAGAATGACTATTCCACCAGCAGCCTGCTGTCCTACGGCATCAAGCCCCTGTCCCTGCAGACATCCCACGCCCTCAGCTACTACCCAGACTCGGCCTTCGCCTCCATGGCTGCGGGCTGGGGCACCAGAAGCTCTTACCAGCGCAAGATGACCACGGGCCTGCCCTGGTCCCCTCGTCCAAGCCCCCCAGCCTTCCCGGAGGACCAGCTGGGGGCCACAAAAGACAAGCTGCCCGAGGAGAGCGCGCCGCCCGCCTCGACCTGGATCGAGACGTCCCACTCGCTGAAATCGGTGGACTCTAGCGATTCCGGCGTGTACTCCGTGGTGTGCAAGCGGCGCAGGATGTCCCCTGGGGGCTCAAGCACAGAGAACTCCCCCACCATCAAGTGTGAGGACTTGACTACAGAAGAGTACAAGGACAACCCAAAAGGCATGGGTTATTATGCATTCTACACAAGCCCCTAAGACTGTATTTATTGAAACTAAATATAATTCTTCATTCCCTGTTAATGTCTGTTTTCTCTTTTCTCTAAAGGTGCCAAAGCTTAGTGTCCCCCCCCCCCCCCCCCCCTCCCCCCAAGCAAGCTGCACACGGTTATTTTCCCAGGCCAGCCCCTCTCACATACCTGAGCAAAAACATGCATAGTGATTGTTGTTTTTTGAAAAAGCATGTCCCTTTTTAATCATTTATTTTTACAACTTTTACTTTTTTTACAAATGTGAATTTTCTTTTCTTTTTTCTTCCCCCTGCGTATTTAAGTCATTTCCGTTGTACAGTATTCGTGCACTTTAGAATGTGATGTATCTTGTACAAATTGTCTTCATGGAGGTGTTATTAAATGGATAATAAAACGGCTTTTCACAAAGCAGCTGTCCAAATGTCTGCCTCGGTATGTTTTAACGTCCCATGTCCACAGTGAGTGAATAAGACGGGCCTTTGGCAGCTCTTAAAATAATCTATACGTTGTATCAGCTGTAGATAAAAGTCTACTCATGCATTTTTTAAATGTACAGTCGCTGCTGGAACTGAAATGACTGGATCTGATACATTTTCTGATAAAAACAAATCAAAAGTGTGTGTGTGATGCAGTGAATGAGTGGCGGTGCCTGTAACCCTATTCTGTATTTTTATGGCTTGTTATAGAGGCCATGAATTTGGGCCTCTAAAATAAAGGCTCCCCTGTGTGATTGCTGCAAACAAGTTGACATAGCAACAAGCCTACATTATAAAATATGAATAAGACCATGCTTTCAAATGGAGCGGCGCAGTGGTAAAATTTACCCAATTTTGCATTCAAATTGAGGCATTTTTTTAAGATTATTCATCAACATTTCTCCTGTAAGCGATTTGAGACCAACTACAATTGAGTACGGAATTAATTTCAAGCGACGCTCCTTTGTCACTTAGAATTGGATAAGCTTCTGCTGTCTCAAATCCATCACCCTTCTCCACTAATAAAGCACATGTAGCATCATTTTTCAGAATATTTTCATATGCAAAGACTTGTAATCGGGTATCATAAATCCAAATAATCATATGCATAGTAAACAACAGAAGATGATTAGGGCATATAGTGTGTGAAAGCCTCTTTCTGTTTTAAGGTCACAGTCAGTAAGCACTATTGTTGTTTTTTTGTTATGTTTTATTGAAATTCTCAGAGCCCATGGTGTTTATGCACAAAAGAGCTGAGCAATCCTCTGCAAGCAACAAATGAGTGCGACGAGGTAACGCCACAGCTCACAATTCAAGTGAGCGAAGTGTGATTTAAATAAGAGATTTACATGTTTTTTTAGATGACATGACTCACAACATAGACCCAGCTAGGTGAAAAGCACACAGTCCTACCATTCCTTCTGTTGTTGCCATGGCGGTTTCACGCATTTTATCATTTACCCAAGTAGTGCAACTGCATTGCGAGGCATGTGTACTTAGAAGATATGAAAACAGGCTAAATGAAAAACGGTCCGTCGGCCACCCAGCTAAGGGCAACGCACAGCCAAACACCTCTATTTATACGCCTCTCAAAAGTGGATTAGTGGAGTTCAAACTCATGAAAAGAGAAGTCATAATATTCACACAGAGACTACTTGGCTCATGTTCTCAACACCTGTTTTTCTTCAAGTGAAAATACTTTGAATCCTCCCCCATAACGACTCCAGTTTGAATTGATTTGCATACTGGAATTCTAATTAATTCTGTTGTCAGACTCCTTGATAAAGTGAGGAGTCTGACTAACTCCAATTAACACCTCCTAACAAGGTAGAGTGCTTGATTGCCCTGGCCTCTCAGGAAAGCTGTAAGAAAAAAGCCTCTTGGGGGGGGGGGGTGTTCGAGCTGAGAGAATATAAATGTTTGCACTTGTGCGTGTCAGCAAATTGTATTTCTGAGCATCTGACGATGTTTTTCTTCTCCTTTTCATGCTGCCTTGACCTCTGCTTCCTCGGTGGTGGTGAGGTGGAGAATCAACATTATGAGTGGACAACTAGCGAAAGAGAGTTGCAGCGATGTGACAGTAATTGACACCCTGACGATGGGAGGGGAAAAACAATTAGAATTTCACATGCCCTTAATTTATAACCGATAACTGACCTACAGTTTAGTGGAAATGGCGCGAATCTCAGAATAAGGTCCTCTTATTTTATTTTTATTTAACCGTTATTAAGCCAGGATCATCCCATTGAGATTTTGAGTCTCATTTAAAAGGGGGTCCTGGCCAAGATGGCAGCGTAAAGGTTTCACACGAGCGCCACATAAAAACATAAATGACAAACTTAAAAAAACAAAACAGCAAAAAGCTGCATAAACAACAATAGAAGTTAAAGAGGAGACAAAACAAACGAGGGAATTGCATCAACCAAAGAATTGTTGTTCAGGGTCAGGACAATGTTCAGCGCTTAATGGTCCTTAATCCTGTTGTTAAAACCTTGCTTTCAAAATAATGCAGTGTTTAGGATGCAAGTAACACAATTCTAGTGCTTTGTATTGACCTAAGAATTTGCATGGGTGATATGTATTTCACACCAATCATTAGAAATACTGCAGTTTAACTTCCAATAAACACATGATTGCTGGAATTTGTCTTTCCAGCACACACACAACCAAACCCAAGCACATGTACACGCTTCAAGGTGCATCTATCTGTTTGAATGTCTCGTCAAATGCATGACGGCACTGCATATGTAATGTCTGCCGTCCGCCCACTGGAATGCAACCTCATACCCAGCGACAGCATGACTTGCATACACATACAGGGACGTGCATCTTGCATCTAAACTACAAAACATCGTCCTCGGTTTCCACTGCAGCTCTCTCAACAATCCTCGTATTATTTATTCAAAGGATATTCCAGGTGATTCATGGGAGCTCTCGACAACTCCAAAACAACAACCGAGCAACAAGTCGATAAATTGTGTCTTTCTCAACCCATTCATGCAAGAAGTACAGCAATCAATAGACACCTCTACAGCATGCTACCGCAAATTCAGACCATGTTGACTCGCTATATGCGCATCGGGATGAGGCCTGAAGAATTGACTGCCATTGTTAACATTGCTGGCTACAATCTCAGTAATTGACTGGGTTCTGCTGTCGTTGTCAGTAAGGCCTGGGAGAAACAATCCAGAGGTTTGCAGGATTTAAAGCGCATTAGCAAAACTTCTTCTTGCTTCATGTGTGTGACCAACCTTCCCCCAGGCCGCCCATTGGCGACCACGTTGAGAGTTGATGTAGGAAAGGCCACGGAGACTACGGAGACATTGTACCCAAGGAGGGCTGACATCTAAACACAGATGAAGGCCTGAGGCGGTTTCCTCACCTTCAGTCACACACTATTACTGCTCTCACTGGCTAAATGCAGCCACAGGCAGACGTGTGTCTGGGTCAACATTTCTTTAAGACGCCCCCCCCCCCCTTTTTTAAAGTATCCCACAAACGAGCACGAGTGAGACGGTGGCGATTATGTTTCATCTTCACACTACATTTCCCGTTTTGATGTGTTGATAAATGTCACCTCTGTTAAATGCTTATCAAGCCAGTTAGAATTACTGTGGAATTGTTCCTCAGGGACGGTTTGAGCCTCGTATGGCCACTCTGCTGCTTTGTGATGTATTCACGCATCATCTAGTTAATGGCTTTTTATTTTACAAAGACTTTCTCAAACATCTTGAGTTTAATGTCATTAGTCGATGTGAGTCAGATCTTTTTAACTGTAGGGAAACGATGGGCACTGCAGGCACACGCAGGCCCACACTAAAGCCAGGAACCAGGTCCAGTGTGCTATATTATATTGTAAAAGTAGCCCAACACATACAGTACATGTAGATATTCTCTGGCACGCGATGCAATGTTCTGTTTTGCGTATAATGAGCACATGTTCTTTGTGTTTTCAAGTAGAGGTCATGGGCATTTACAGTCCTAATAATGCTGACAAAGGCTCTCCTTTTAGCTCGCCCCAGGTGTCGATGTACACAACACAATGCTTTATTTGGACCTGATTAATCAGCAGTAAATAGGGGGGGGGTGGGCTGACTTAAGTGCGGGTGTAATGCTCGCAGGTCTGCTGAAGTGGGACCCTGGTGTGAGATGAGTCTCAAGTTGGCGGGGCCACAACTGTTTGCAAAAGGGCGTTGAGTGTTGGCAGAGAGCACGGAGGTGAGAGGAACCGGAGGCCAGGCCGGGCCCTCGTGTGTCTTTGCCCTCAGACGGCGTGTGCAGCGCGCAGGCAGGGCCCGGACTCACTGGTGCGTGGATAACGTTGGAGTGAGTATCCCGCGGCTAAGCTGCACTTAACAGCACATTGATTTCAAACCCCCGTGTTCCCTCTCGAGGGCAGTGGGACGCACCTCAACAGGCCGAACCCCCCCCCCCCTCCCTTTCTTTTCCCCTTCTGACCACCACCACCATTTACCATCTACGCAGCCTACCCCTCCCACCATCTACCCATCCCAGAGTCGATTTGGGTACACCATGCTGGTCACTGGTCTCTACCCCCCCCCCATCCCACCTCCTCTGAGTGTCCCGGAGGAGTTGAACAGGTTTCAGGGGCACTAAGGCTCCAGCAGGAACCTGGTCTTGAGAGCGATGTGTTGGGTCAGGGCGTGCAGAGGCAGCCGCGTGGAATAGATCTGTGGTCAAAATCAATGCATTGGCACTTTGATGGAGCGCTCCGACAGATTTGGGTATGTCACATTCTGGTCTTTCTCTCCTGGCGCCATCAGAAGACCTCGCCACAGGAGAAAAAACATCATCCACTAAACCTTCTGGGAGAGAGGGACTCTTCATTTCTGCAGTCATGGGACCAAACATGACACAGTCAATATTCATTTGGTGGCTTGCACCTTACATGTTACTCTCTCCGAAATGTCGCCTCTTGCTGCTCAAAACTAAATGCAAAATGCCTGTGTAACCTTTGCACACGTTCTACAAGTTCTGCAGCCATTAGTTCTGGAGTTTACATTTTACATTAAGAGACAAGGGTTGTATTTCTTCCGCTACGGTAAGTTCAGTACGACACTCTTCACTCTGCTTTTCTTGTTTTCTTTCTGAAGGTTCGGAAAAGAAAACTTTCTCTCTCAGCATCACCACACCTTGCAGTCTGCATCTTTTTGCGTGAGGCCCCCAGCACAGGTGAATGCCAGTGTGGCGCTTCTTCCACTTGTCTAACTTCTGACTCATCTCCCAGATTCATTATGCGGATGCATGTTTCAGGAGCAGTACACAGCACTCTTCGTTGTGCGCTAATGGGCTCTCAGCATCTTTAAGACTCGGGGTACAATTAAGAGGTGATATTTTGATCTCCCACCTCGCAGTTCTATTTCTGAGCTGCTGCGTGATTATGCCGGAGGTTGATGGGTGGGTGAGGAACGGGCCTCTATTTAAAGGAAGACTCCCATGAACAGAAAGAACAGACTACTTTTGCTGTTTGCCCACGCCTGACGGTATTTGTACTCCATTGCAATACAATGTATGACACGATCACAAAGTGATTTTGGCATAATGCTACTGAGTGATGGTGTTCACTGTAATGGAAGTTAACTTTCTATTTAAAAAAAAGTATATGTACCAAATCCCACAGCTCTGTAAGAAGGGTGGTCCTAGAATTGATTCCTATAAGGTTATTAAAGGTAATTGCAAAGACTAAGAGCTATTTATATTTATATTTTATATTGTGTATCCACTCCAACTTAACCAACCATATTTTTTACACCGAGGCTCAAAACACTTTCTTATTGT